CTAAGATAATTGACATCATTATCGGCACTTAATGATTTATATTTTGCAATTGCTTGTTTCTATTCATTTTCATTGAGTTCAAAAAATGGTCCACTAGGATGTTGAACAAGAAAATGAGACACCATATGACTTCAACCGCGCCCTTTCGAGAAAAACGGTGTATTCTCTTCGAAAAACCACCGTTTCAGGCTAACTTTACCACTTCTAAAAGTTGATTCATCATGAACTAGTAAAGATAAACACAAAAGATCGTATAATAGAAGTTATAGCTAAAGTTTCGACTGCTATGCTTACATATAAGTATTCTAGGATGGTTTTGGGTGGGCATATTCCACATAGGTGTGTCACCATCAGTAACTGTGTAATAAAAATCTTTCTGTGCTAGAAGTAATTAATAAATTCGTTACGATGTTTCACAACATCGTCTCTTTCATGTCATTCAAAATATGAACGTTGTGAATTCGCTCCGAATTTAGCTCCCCATCTACGGAGATTCGGGCGACAACTTCTTTCTGATATTATCAAATCATCCCCAATTTGTTTTTGAAGTTCCGTTAATTCATAATATTTTGTATCAATGAACTGAGCCAAGTCCGCTGCTTTAAACTCCGCTGATTTCTGCGAACATGCTTGGACAACGAATGCTCTAGCATCTGCTTCAATTTCTGAAAATGTGCCATAAAAGGAATCCGTTTGTTTGCCACCACGTATATCATTTGAAAACTCTTCATAATCACCTTCGATAAACACCGTTGCCCATTTATGAGAAGTTTTCGCAGTCATAAAGCCAATAGTCTTCAAATATTCATCGACATCTTCCCATTTAATGTTGAAGTAACGTAATGACATATAGAGCAAAATGCTAAGATATTTCGTGTTACATTTGGACTTACACATCTCAGCAAGATCACCAATGTCGGTCAGAAAAAATTTTTCATTAAAAGATAATTCTTTATCATCAATATCCATACTATATTCTTCATTTGACGACTCCCTTGAAGACGAAACCTCTACACTTGGCCAGCGATGGGCCGATGCACTTTGCACTTTTCTACTGCTTTTCTTTCGTCTAGGCATAGCATACTACTTAATTTCAGCTACAAAAGAAGGTATCCTAAAGAAAAATACAGAATCCGGATACTTCTGATTATAATAAGGTTTTTCCATAGAAGGATCTCCGGAGACCCCATCGAGACCCTCCAAAGATCTCGTGAATATGTCCATTCGATTCGCCATCAGTTTTTACCTATGTCAACAAATTTTCACTCGATTTGAATAAAAAATAGTTATTTTATTTACAGATGATCTTCCCCCTTATCCTATCATACTAGTAAAAACGATTTTTCTCAACACAGGAAACAAAAAGAAAAAAAAACGATCCGTAGCGTGGTGGGGGATGGTATGGTAAATAGAATGAGACAAAGTATTTGGCTTCATCGTTTACGCGCAAAAACTACATATGTTTACAAAATCGACATATACGTATCTCACTCCATACGATTCGAAGTGCCACCATCAATTGAGTTTCGAGTCTAGAGTCAATTTAACAACTTGTCTATACTCAGTTTTTGATCCTGAATCTGAAAAAAGTATCTTCAGGAGCGAAAAAAAAGAATAAAATGAAAAACTTCGGACATTTCGAGAAAAGATATGTTTTTCTCGAAAAACGACACTTTTCGAGTATTTCGTATTTTTCGACGAGAAGGAAACATTTGCTAAGGCTAAAAAGTAGTTTTTCGTAATCAGCAGCTCAAGCTCTATCCGATGATGTGAAAAAAACGCGAAAAACAAATTTTACTGAAAGTTCGAATTGCCTGCACCTTGCATTAATGTAGGAAAACAGATTTTCAGGCAACGAAAATCAGAAAATATTATCACTACGCTTAATATGTTCACCTAAGGATGAACTGCTTAACTTAGCGTAAAATTAAGTTAGCTTTTATTACTTAGCACTTAATTTATTTAAAACTAAGTTTGATTGATTGAATTAGGCAAATATCATTTAATGACGAGTTTTTCTCTACTTCAATACGAACTGAGCATGATATTGCCCAGACCATTTAGGAGAGAACTTCTACTAACTCCCTCTTAAATCCAAACAACAATATGTTTTATCCTGACAACAGTGTAGAAAACTCTGCTGAAATCTGACTAGTTGAAACGAAAATGCTCCTAGCCAATCAGATTTCAGCCATATAAAAGAGCATTGCATGCTGACTCCCTAGTCCACCCACACAATATTGGAGAAAGCTCTTGCTAAAATTCGATTGACTAGGAGCTTCTGCATTTTAACCAGTCTTACTTGAGCAGATTTTTTCCGCAATCATGTAAGAACAACACAAATTATTGTCCAGACCTATCAAGGGTTCTCTCGTAAATGGCTCGGACAACGACGTGTTGCGTTCATACTGGAGTAGGAGAAAAAATCGTAATTAATTGATATTCGACTAATGTAACTACTGAATATTTAACTTCATTAAGCGAATAAAAAATATGGTTCACCAGGATATTAGAATATGGCTACGTCATGTTACTCGATATGCTGAACAAGGATTATGAATTATTCATCATTATATGGGTTTCAAAGGACAGTTTAAGGTGCATATCAAGAGAGATTGAAAAATCGACTTTTTTTGCGCCAGACGGATCGAGCTGAAATTTTAGGATATGAATTATGACTAATAATTACACATCTTGTGAAAGTTTCATCTTCATACATAT